AATGCCACATTAAGAAATCAAAACTTCAAGGAAGCAGAGGAATCGCAAAACAGAAAAGTTCATACTGAGACAGAAGTCAATTGGCTGCTTTTACTTTGATAAAACACTTGAAAAAAATATCCTAAGAGTAGTGCATATTCTGGTTCGTGGTTTTGAAAGGGAACAGCCCATTATTTGGGGGGAAGGAATGGCAGTGATAGGTATATGGGGCTGTGGAGTAGGCAGCTGGGTGGCTGGTTACATGGCATCAGCAATCAGGATGTAGAGTGACATTAGCCAGCCGTAAGCCATAAAACCCAGCAAACACCCCGTTTCTTCCAGTGAGCCCCGCTTTCTCAAGGTTCCACAACCTCCAAAACATCGTAGCCTTTGGCACTATAAACACTTGCTGGTGGGCAGAAAACATCTCAGTTCCAGTTTGATTTATCTATGTGCTGTATATAGCATGTGTGGAATCTTCAGCAGTTGGGTCTTGTTGTCTAGTCCTGGTGGGTGAATCAGAGCCACAGCTGTAGCGTCTCTGGATTTTAGAGCTTCTGGAGATCCCCTGGGCAATGTTTAAGGAGGTATCTTACTCTTGCCCTTGGCTTTTTGGTTTAAAAACCTGTAGCTTCTGGGAGCAGCCTTATCCACCCTCAGAGAATACTTCTGCTCAAACTTTTAAGATGTTTATTCTGTCTTCTGGTTGGCTTAGGAAGTAGTTTGGTTTCTATGTAGCCTTTTGTTATTAGTGTTTGTTGATCAGCCCCCACCTGCCTCCTACCCCCACCCTTAGCTCCACTTTTCCTAGCCTTCACACGCTCTCTACTTTCACATCACACGTGCTCTGCCATCTCCCTTCCTAAGAGCTCCCCCATGCCATCTCAGGGTTCCTTTATTGCTCTCCAGCGTCCGAGGACACTCTCTCCAACTTAAACACGGAATCTAGAGGGTCAGAGCAGAATCCACCTATGAGAGAACTTAAAGACCCACTTTTCTAGGCCCGGTTACCTTGGCTGGTCTATAACACTTCCCAGTTCTCTCTATTTCCTTGCAAATCTTGTTTTAGTTTTTTAGTGCCAAGTTGAATTCTTTTGTATGTATTTACTCATACCTTTCTTACTCAGTCACCAGTTGATGGGTACCTAGATGCATTTTATTTCCTAGTTATTGTGACTAGAGTAGCGGTGAAATAGATGTGTGGTGGTATTGTGTTTCCCAAAATATTGTGCACCCGAATAAACTTATCTGGAGTCAGAGACAGAACAGCCACAATATTAAACATAGAGGATAGGCAGTGGTAGCACACGCCTTTAATCCCAGCACTTGGGAGGCAGAAATCCTCTGTTCCAGGATACAGACAAGCATGATGACTCACGCCTTTAATCCCAGAAAGTAAGCCTTTAATCCCAGGGAGTGGTGGTAGAAAGCAGAAAGGTTTTATAAGGCGTGAGGACCAGAAACTAGAAGCATTTGGCCTGGTTAAGCTTTTAGGTTTTGAGCAACACAGTTCAGCTGAGAGGCACCCAGTCTGAGGAAATAGGATCACCTGAGGAATTGGCCAGGTGAGGAAGCTGTGGCTTGTCCTATCTCTCTGATCTTCCAACATTTTACCCCAATAACTGGCCTCAGGTTTGATTTTATTAATAAGACCTTCTAAGATTCTTGCTGCATAGATGTACAGGTATCTCTGTTGTGGGGTATAGTGTCTTTTGAGTATATGCCCGGGAATTGTATATCTAGGTCAAAGGTCATCCTTATGTGTAGCAATGGGAGAAACCTTCACACTGATTTTATGTTCCAGCTGACATTCCAATCAACAATGAATAGGACAACTCCTTTCGCAGTGTCCTCACCAGCGTTTGTTTATCTTCTTGATTGTCATTTTGATGATGGAGTCTGGCTTACTTTCCTTAGGAGAGTCACTGTGTATTGTCTGGGCAATGGCCTTTGGAGACTGAGACTTTGGGCTGAGACCCACTGGCAGTATATGCTGAACCTGCCCATTATACACCTGAGAAGTCAATTGAGTACCTGCAGCCTTTCTCTGTTTCCTGCCTTTTTGGTTTGCATCCTTCTGTCTCTCCACAAAAGAACAGTGGAGAATGACTTTTCATGTACCCCAGGGCATAGCTGAGCACCAAAATGCCACCATTATTATGCAATATGTGTTTAAAAGAAAGTTACATGTACCAGTGGTTTATCACAGTTGAAGAAAGTTCTTAAGTGTCCTTGGTGTTCTGACAGATGTCAGATGGACTAGATTCTCGGTGAAAACTAGACTCATGTATAATTGGGCATCACTTAGTGACATCTCTTTACTGTCCTTGAAAGAATTGTGATTTAAATGACAGCTGAAATTTTAGTGCCTTACTTAGAATATTTGAATAAATCATTGTGTTGCTCACACTCCAATTTTTTTTTATTCTTCTCTCATATATTACATCCCAACCCCAGTTTCTCCTCCTTCCTTACTATGCCCTCCGCCTCTGCCATTCCTCATTCACTCCCCCTTCCATTTCTCTTCAGAGAAGGGTAGACCCATGGATATCAACCAAACATGGCAAATCAAGTTGCAATAAGACTACGTCCCACTCCTCGTATTAAGGCTGGACAAGGGAATCCAGTGTGAGAAAAGGGTCCTGAAAGCCGGCAAAAGAGTCCGAGACAGCTTCCACTCCCACTGTTAGGAGTCCCACAAGAAGACCAAGATACACAACCATACATATACACAGAGGACCTAGGTTAGACCCATGCAGGCTTTCTATGTCTGTTCAGTCTCTGTGAGCCCCTATGAGCCCAGGTTAGTTGATTCCGTGGGTTTTCTTGTGGTGTCCTTGACCCCCTCTGGCTCTTAATAATCCGTCCTCCCTCTCTTCCTCAGAATTCCCTGAGCTCTGCCTAATGTTTGGCTGTGGGTCTCTACATTTGTTTCCAATAGTTGCTGGATAAAGCCTCTCTGATGATGATTATGCTAGGCTCCTGTCTACAAGTATGTAGCAGAATGTCCATCATTTCATTGACTTTATTTGTTCTGGTTGTGTTTGGTCCTATCCTGGGTCTCTGGACTATCCAGCCTCTGGGTCCTGGTCCTCCTGGCAGTGTCAGGGGTGGGCTTCCTCTTATGGCATGGGTCTCAAGCTGGATCAGTCATTGGCTGGCCACTCCCACAATTTCTGTTCTACCTTTATCTCAGTACATCTTGTAGGCTGGACAAGTTATAAATCGAAGGTTATATGGCTGGTTTGGAGTCCTAATTCCTCCACTGGAAGTCTTGCCTGGTGATAGGAGATGGCCAGTTTAAACTCTGTGTCCCCCATTATTAGGTCTTCCTTGTAGATTCCTGGGGGTTTCCATTGTACTAGGTTTCTAGCCCCTCACCAATTCCAGTTATCTCTCCCAGTACTCTCTCCCTCCATCCTCCTTCTACCTGATACCTCCTGTTCCCATACACTTCAAATTTTAAGTGTATTGCCACAATACTCATGCTGAGGACAGTTTATCATGGACAATGTTTTTGATACATTAATAACAAAGAACATTCAGTTAATAGAATTAGATAAATAGCATTCTTTTAAAAATCTGAAAAGTGTAGACAAGGTTGAAATGTGAAATGATCATTGGGTTCTTGCTTACTATGTATTTGGGCTGATTTCGTCTTGTCTGTCAGTAGAAAGGTCTGTCTTACCAGCTGAAGTTTTGAAAAATCTATTTTTAAATGTGTGTATAGTTTAACTGATGACTTGAAAAAATGCTTACTTTGACTTTTGGGTACAGATTGACAGATTAACCATCCACGTGCCCACTAATGAATGTCTCAAATCCTAGTTTTCAGACATGTGGCATGACACCTTTTGTCAAAAATATCTTAATGTTGAGTAATATAAATGGTTTGTTAAAGTTGATAGTTGTCAGCCACCAGATGTAAGAAGCTGTGTCCAGTCGTAGGTAGGATTAAGAATCAGGCTGAGTCCAAGTTCCAGTGACAAGAAAAGGAAGAAACAATTCTCAATGAACAAATAGAAAAATCACACTCCCTTCAAGGAATCCCTTGAAAACTGTATTTTAAAGAAGGAAAGTTAAAAAAAAAAAAAAAAACAAACTCAAAAACATGGTAGAAATGAATGACAGTATTCCAGAGGCTTTTGGCGATGTGTTTCCCAGTTCTTTTCTGGTAGGACCCAGCATATGTAGTGGAAGTGAAGAAAATGCAATTCAAGGGCTTGCGTCTTAAATCTCAGCAGTTCTGGCGGGACTTGAATGAAGGCTTGTTTGACTCTGCTCCTGGAACCCCTTCCCCATCCTGTGCCTGTGGTTTGGATAGCATTCCTTTGCACAGATCAGTGGGGAAAGGAAGCGCTCACTGTCCCCCATGGGAAGGATATTTTACATATGTGGAAAGCTTCACAAAACCCTTCCAGACAAACCTGAGCCCATTCACTTGTTTCATTTACTTAGCACACATTTAGGAAGCCGTATTGTTTTTATGGACAGAGCTACCCTCGGATACACAGATACCAAAAAATAGAGTTTGTGAATTTAGTTTCTATGATTTATCAAGAATGTTTTCTGCCTACAGTTTAAGTTAGAAACATTTATTTTTTAGAAACTTTGTTTTTGAGGTGTGAAATATTGAAAGAAATCAGTAAAGAATACTTTGAATCTGAAAGAATCCAACAAACCTTTCAAGGATAATTTTGAAGTGACCAAAACGTTATTGCCCAATTTGCATTGAGAGTTAGTTCAATACATGCTATAATTTTTTTCCTTTCCTGGGGCTGGGGGATGGCTCAGTTGGTACAGCGCCTACATCATATGTGTGAAGACCTGAGTTCTGATCTCCAGAACATATGGTTTCTTTATTTTTATTTTAAAAGGCTAGTTACCTCACATGAGCTGAGGGAGCAGAGAAAGATGGATCTTTAGAGCTCATGGTCTGTCAGCTTAGGCAGATGAGTGAGCTCCAGGTTCAGTGAGAGACCCTGCCCCCGCCCCCAAAATAAAGTGGAGCATGATCAAGGAAGACGCCCAGTATTGATTTCTGCCCTCCACACGTTATAGTCCAGGAATCTTGATCCAGCTTGTCCTCTGTCAGTTAAATAACTAAAAGGCAGGAAAAATCTAGAACGTGACAGGTAGCAGCAGAGAAATCTTGAGCACAGCAAATGGAAGCAGATGGAATCAGCAGTTGAAGAAAAGGCTTTTACTCGGGGTGAGGAAAACACACACACACAGCAGGAACACAGAGAGATCCCCCACAAAGCAGGGGTGGGGTGGAGTGGTGGCGTGGTGGGGTGGTGGGGTGGCAGGACTCAGGACTCCAGAGCCCAGCTGCTCCTTGAGGGCTAGGAGTTGTAAAAGTCCCTGAAGCGTCCATCAGTTTGAAGGACAGGATGGCTGACTTGCTCACAACTGTTGTGTAGCATTTCGTGATCCATCCTTGAACTGGATGAGCCAGTCCGTCAACAGGGGCCCTACTGGAAGGAGAAGAAACCCATCAGGCCTTTGTTTAAAGCTGCCAGGCTTTAGTCTCAGGTCAGGAGGGTGAGGAAGAAGCCAGCCATCTTGGAAGTTCCTTATCTTTATTACCTAGTCGGGGGTCCTTCTGTCTGTCTGCCTATCAAGGAGCTAACTCCTTGTCCCACACACATGCATGTGCAAGCACACACCCACATAGGCACATGAATATGTACATATAACACACACACACACACACACACACACACACACGCACACACAAACACATACACAAAGTAATTAAAAGTGGGAATGGTGGTATATGCCTCTAATCCCTGCACTTGAAACATCAGGGGATCCTGGGAGTCAGGATTGAGATTAGCCTGAGGTATATGAGACCTTGTCTCAACTACAAAGAACAATGAAAAATTAATAACAATAAATAAAAATTGTAGTTTTAATATACTTTGCCTCTGATATTATCCCATAATGTTGTCATAAATGCTGGTTACTTTTTCTAGTCCTTAAATTCTAACATTTTTCTTCTAAAATTGCCTTCTGGATTTGTGTATTTTTGAAGAAGAGGCATTCAATTATTTGAACTTTACAAGACTTTGATGAATAATCCACAAATGATTAGAAACCCCAGGTGAGAATAAGGAAGGCTGGAGGGAATGTGATTTCCAGTGTTCGATTACAGTTCACAGCATTGGTAAAGTCACACCTGATCATCTCTGTCAACACTAGACACAGGACTTAAATAGAATGAGACAGTTGATTTCTAACCAAATATGAGTGGCAATGGTCTGGAAACACAGATTCAGATGGCCCCAGATGAAGTCCTCCTCTGCAGAACTTTTCATGCGAGTGGGGATTTTATAGTTGCAGAACAAAATGTGGTCAGAGATTAGAGCATTTTCCAGACACACTGGTGGGGACATCAGGTGGGCAGGTGACAGCAGGAGGGGGTGGATTTCTTCTATAGGTTTTAGATATCATCTGATGACATTCTCAGCTTTTGGGTTGGTCGAAACTAGTGGACAGCTAAGAACACGGTTCATAACGATGTCCAAAACGTAGCCAGGTGGTCAGTGAATGGCTGTTAAGGGAACTAGGGGTAGCCCAGGATAATTTTGGCTCTGGATCGGCAATGTTCCAGTTCTCTGCACTAAAGATAATCAATTAGCCTTGGAGAATCTTCAGCATAGGTGAGGCTTTAAAAAAAATAAGAACTTACATCATGTGCCCTTTTCATCTCTATCATCTGAACTTCACATGTGCTTAGATCCGTCATCTTGTTTTTATGGGGCTAGCAGTGGACCTCACACCCTAGTGCTGGGTCACCCTCCCGGTGAGGATAAACAAGAGACTCTGGTCTTACTTCATAAGGTGGTTGGTGGAGTTAATACATTTGTTTGTAGCAGTAGCTCATTTAACCTTTAGCCCTTACAGTTGTCTGTAAATATAGGTCACTGTCACCCCAGCTCTGTAGATGCAGAATTGGTCCAGTTGCTTGATGATCTCAAAGTCAAGTCAGACATTCTTATGCCAGGTTGTGTGTTCTTTTTCCCTTCTTTTTCCTTTTTTAATGTGTATGGATAGTTTGCCCCCATGTGTATTTGTATACCACATGTATATCTGATGTCTGTGGGGGCTATAAGAGTGTGCTGGATCCCTTGGAACTGACATTGCAGAGGCTTGTGACCTGCTCTGAGGGTGCTGGGAATTGAACCCAGGTCCTCTGGAAGGCAGCCAGTGCTCTTAACTGCTGAGCCATCTCTCCAGCCCCAGTCCATTCTTTCTCATTCCATTGTAGCCATGGCCAGGAACTTTGGGGATGAAATATGATGGTGTACAAACAGCAGTGTAACTGTAGAATTATAGACATTGTTGCTTTAGTTATCAAATCCATACCATTAACAATCAGAAAAGCTGAATCTGTGATTAAGTGCAAGTATTTTAAAATTCATGCTGGCTTGTGTGAAAGGGACTAGGTAGGGTTTCTGTAGTTGTCTGGAAGGGGAAGTCTATTCTTTGGAGAGTATGTGTGCTTCAGCTTATTTTTAGGCTGTGTGGCTGTCTCATATCTCACTGTGCACCAATGAGAGAAGCCCATGACTTACGGTCACTTTCTCGGGGTCACAAATAGCTTGCTTTATTGCACTGGAGGGCTATATATTTTTGGTGGTTCCCAAGCTGAGTTTTAACCAGTCACCTCGAGGTGAAAAGCTCAGGCTCATGTTACCGTTTCCTTGGGCTGTCATCCTTTGCTCCCGACCGGCTTGTCATAAATGTTTCAAGAGCTCGAGTCTCTTAGCCTTGTGGGCTTGGTTCTAATCTGAGCCTACAGCGCTGGCTCACATCTCAATGAATCTTGGAAAACTCACTCTTGCACTTGCATGTTCAGGCAGGGCAGCCAGGCTCTTCAAAATAAGTGCTGATGTGTCCTGGCCTATTTCAGATTAAAATGGATTCCCTCTGAGTGCAGTGTTAAGGACACCGGTCTTGGACAGGGCTTTTTTTTTTTTCTCCACCCAAAGAGTTACTAGTCAGACACATGAGCCACTGCTTTACTAGAGAGCAGGGTAGGAAAGACGTGTTCTGGAAATGCTTTCACTGCGTTTAAAAGAGCTCTTGGGAGGTGGTATGCACTCTTGAGAGCTCGACTGCCCTGTGTGCTGAACTGTGTTAAGGGTTGTGGGTATGTCTAACAGTATAGGATGGACACACACGGAGAACTCAGGCAGAAATAACTGAGCAACAGCAAAGGACCTCTCAGAACACAGGCATGATAACTGAGAATATGTTTGCATAGACACTTGCTGTGGCTTTGAGGGCAGAGGAAGCACTTCGTACCAAGGAAGGCTTAGTAAAATGAGTCGGCTACATCTTGGATAATGATGGTCAAAGCGAGCAGGTTTCCTGAGCATAAATTCCAGAAGAAACACCCAACCACTGCGGGGGCTTTTGAGGAGGCAACTAGAGTGAAGGTGTCATAGGAAGGAGACTCCAGGCCTGGTCATCAAGCCCTTGGACGCCAGACAAATGGCGGGACTTCAGCAAAAGCTGTTTTCAAATACTTCTTGTCCAGCCACTTACACGATTCTTTTTTTTTCCCCCAGGAGTTTTTTTTTTTTTTTTTTTTTTTTTTTTACCACGTTTGTGTTTTGTCAGTCACAATGTGGGCAGGACAGGAGAAAATCAGCAGACCTCAACATTGTCTGAGTGCATAAAAACTAAGCTGTGCTAAAAGGGGTACTTCCTGGGAATATTCCGCGGTAGACATGTTTCTGAACATTCCCTACAGGCTGTAAAACATGAACAGCCTCGACTTAACGATGTACCTATTTACACCTTAAAGATGTTGGCCACTCCAAGAGTCCAAGAGCCAGTTCCCTGGGCTGCTGCATCAGACGTATCACCTGCCCGAGTTCCTCGTGGTAATTCAGAAACAAACCTCCAAGAATAACATCTAACTGGCACGCCCTGATTGGCGTTCTGATCAAGAAGTATGTGAGACTGAAGCATCAGAAAAGCATTTAGTTTCTTACAGAAATGGCATTTACTTATGAATACATTATTCCTAATGAGACACGTAGACCTCACATAGCGACTCTTCTCTGCTCCAAGCCGTGTACTTAGTTCCGCTTGGTATGATTTCAAGAATTGTATATTTTAAAAGTAATCTCTGAAAACATTTTCACAGGTTCCTGACAGCTTCTTGAATTTTTGATAGATGCAATAAAATGACTGATGACAGGTAGCTTCCTCTAAGTGTCATAATGAAGGGAAAAATTATCACATGAAGGTGGACCACAGAGGAGACACACAGAAACTCTGTTAATATGGAAGAAGAACAGGATTTGGGTTAAACGTTGTGTTTAAGTTCCCACAGGCTTGCTGCAGAGGGAGTTAGGAAAAGTCATCAGGTCCAGGTGACTGTGAGTGTATTTGAACAGAAGAGTGCTTTGAACTTAAGCTGTTTACAGGGAACATGCTTTGGTTTCTGAAGGTCCTTCGGAAACAGCCTCTTGTGCTGGCATTGCATGTGGTGTGGAAACATTCCACATCTCCATGTAATTCATCCCATCAGCGGCACGCCTGCACGCTCTGTGGTTCTGCGTGTTTATCTCATGTGAATCGAATCTTTGAAAAAGCATCTAGTCAGCAAACCCACTTCTAAAATAGCAAAACAACTCAAAATGCGTCACACACTAGCTGTTAATTGTCCTGGGTCCTTCAAGTCGACCTTACCTTATCTTTTATAATCATTCAAATGGGAACCAAGGTGAATTTGACCATTGGGTGGTTTTTGTTTGTTTATTGTTTCATGAGAAGACAGTAAGCAAAGTCAGCATGGATGCAAGAACTTGCTTCTGAGAATTTTTAAATTCTCTGCTCCATAAGAGGGAAGACAGGCACAGCTATGAACACAGGGTTGCTGTGCACCGCCTCCCATCCATCCAAGTACAGGTGAAGAAGTCCAAGGTGAGAGGTGGAACCAACTTGCCCGGGTGGGCTGTAGTCATGGGCAGAACTTACTTTAGTGGGGGTTGGTGAGATCAGTCTGGTGGTTATCCTCTCTCCCAGAAGTAGCTGGCTCATTGTGCCAAGGTGATTAAAGTGTCCATTCTCTGTAATTCTATGAGGTTATGGCTCTGTTTTAATTGTCCCATGTCACTGTTTTCTAGTAAGTCCGTCCAGATGTGCCCCATGCTGTCTGGTCTTCCATTCAGGCCTCCACATGTGCAGATGCACCTGCTTTCCAGTGCTCTCTTTAGGGATGTGGGAGTCAGGCAAAGTGACATCTATGTTCCTAGGCTTGCTTCTTGTTGTATGTGACCGACCTCGAAGACGAAAAGTGGGCACCACTGTCTTCAACCTCAAACTCATCCAAAGAAAAAGTGCTTAAGACTCTCCTGTGTACTGTCATCAGTGTGGGTGCTTGGAGTCCCCATTATTTATCTGTCCCTCCAGTGAGCTCCTCATGCTGACTGGAGTTTGCCTGCCCTGCCGT